CTGGGTGGTTACCTCCACTATGAGGATTCTCGAAGGAGGCGATGTTTAAACAGTCATCTGCATGACTTGAAGACTTCTGGCTTCTGTGAATCACGGAGAGGGGCATTCTGGGCAGAGGAAATAACTGATACAATGGCTGTGCTGCAGGAACAAGCTTGGCACACTGAAGGAACAGAAGGATGACCAATGAGGCTGGAATGTGAGGGTGAAGGTGAAAAGGAAGATAGGCTGGAACATGTAAACCCAAAAAAAAAAAAAAAAAAACCAAACCACTTGCCATTGAGTAGATTCCAACTCATGATGACCCCATGTGTGCAGAATAGGGTTTCTGTGAACTTTTCAAAGCTATGAACTTTTGGAAGCAGATCGCCAGGCCTTTCTTTCTTCCGAGGCATGTTTGGGTGGGTTCGAGCTGCCAATCTCTCAGTTAGTAGTCAATCACTTAACAACTACTGGTCTGCACCACCCAGGGGCATGTAGGACTTTGTAAATCATGGTAGGGAACTTGGAGTTTATTCTAATTGTTATGGGAAGTTATGGAGAGTTTTAGGCAAGGTAGTTAGTTGCATGATCCAATTTTATTTTTAAAAACATCACTCTCACTGTGGGTGGAGAAGTAGTTGTAGCTGTGCACAGTGGAACCACAGAGATGAGCAAGAAACAAGAAGAGCATGGACCTAGCTGGCAGCAGCAGGGATGAAAACAAGTGGTTATATTTGGAGTATGTTTTGGAGCTATAACAACGCTACCTGCCGATGGATTCGATTTGGGGTGGTTGACTGGTGAGTTTATCTTGGGCAAGTTATTCAACCTTTCTCAATTTCATTTCCATCATCTGTAAAATGGAGATGAGGACCACCCATCTCACAGTTCTGTGGTGAGGATGAAATGATCCAATGCATGTGAAGTGCTTAGCCAGTGCCTGGCATATAGTAAATGGTCAATGCATGTTAGTCATGATCAGCTATTATCCCAGTTACACATGTCTATCTGGCTTCCACTCTCCTGCCTCCTTACCTTGCTGTAGGCTATTCCCTTTGCCTGTGAAGGAACTCCTTCCTCCTCAAATTTTGTCAAATGTCTCATCAAATCCAAGGCTCATTACAAATCCATTCTCTCCAAGATGTTCATTAGATTTGGAAAACCTAGTTCATGATGGTGCTGAATAAATGAAATCCAGCACCCTCAGACTGGAGCAATGACCCCTTAGATGTCACCATCTTTGACAGGCTTGCTGAGATCCTATTGTTCAGAGAAGAAAAAAATGAACTTTATGAAGCTCCTACTGTATGCCAGGCACTGAATTGGGAGATTTTCTTACAACCCAGTCTTTGGTGAGATAGGAAATATCAACCCAACATATAGATGAGGATCATGAGGCTTACGGAGGCTAAATAACATGCCTAAATATAACTTAGTCAGTTAAGTGGTAGAGTGGGAACTCAAAGTCAGGCTTCTACGAACCCAGATCCCATGCTCTCCTCTCTCCTGTTGGTCTGCTTTGGACCCTGATGTGCTCTTTTAATAGTGAGATGAGTAGTCAACATTGCATAATTCCATGCCTGCATCCCTTCATTCAAAGGGTGCCTCCACCTGTAATGCCCTTCTCCCCAGGCCTATACTGAAATCCTACCTGACCCTTAGAGATCAAGGGACCAGCTATAAACCTCTAATCACCTCATCAAATGGGATACTTACCCTTTAAGCTATTCATTAGTAAATATAGGCTAAGCTGTTAAAAATAAGTAGATAGATAGATAGGTGGATAGATGGATGGATGGATGGACAGATAGACAGATGTTGTGGCTTAAATAAGAGAGAAGTTTATTTCTTTTCAACAGGCGAGGGGAGGTAGGAATGTTTTACCATCCTTAACCGTAGACTGACATCTCTGAATCTAAGGCAATTGTTCCAGTTCTCGTCGTTTCCTAGCCATAGGCGAAAGAACCAGGTGGGTCCATACCATTTCCTTTTAAGATCGTGAACTGGACATGGCAGATGTTATTTATGCCTATATGACACTGGCCAGAATTTACTCACATGGCCACACTGCACTACAAGAGAAGCTGGGAGTCCAGGCACTCCACCAAAAGTCACTTATTTTGGGATGATTAGTCCTTTGCCACAGGCTCCTAAAGCACTCTCATTTTTCCTCTGGTATCGTGGTGATCACATTCTTTCTCGTTACATAAACACTTGTGTGCATATTTCGTCTCCCCTGCAGACTGAAAATTCCTTAATGGAAGAATCTGTGCTTTTGTACCTTTATGTCCTTCACTGCCTCACATACGGCCTGGCATATACTGTTGTCAAAGGACGTCAGCAGTCACTCTCATATCATGCTGCTTAGTCATGGTTCCATTATTATATTTTATGAAATGGACTGCATATTAAAAAAAACAAAAAGGCAGTTGCCATCAGGTCTATTCCAACTCATGGCAACCACATGAGTTTCACAGTAGAACTGTACTCCATAGGGTTTTCAATGGCTGATTTTTTGGAAGTAGATCTCCAGTCTTTCTTCTGAGGTGCCTCTGAGTGGATTCAAACCACCAACTTTTGGTTAGTAGCCAAGCACTTAACTGTTTGTGTTATCTAGGGACTCCTCGGAGTACATATTATGTATATGCAAATAGATACACATGCAATTATTAACGATACAAATAATTTTTCTGAAGCCTTCCTGTCTTGTTGGTTCATTCTCTGACCCCTCAAACTTCGTTAGTGCCCTCAGATTTACAACCTCAAGCCCCCTTTACTTGGCGTTTCTTCACACTCATCCCCTTCAATAGCTTGTTCACTGTGTTTTCTTCACTGGGCCATAAGCTCCTGGAGGGCAGGGACAAAGTCTGTCTCACTCACTTGCCCCAGGAACCACTGTGCCTAGCACCTTGCTAGATGGACACCAGACTCTCCTATGCTTTTAAAGATAATTCCCTGAGCCAATTGGGTGGCGCTACCAGAAATGTGAGAAACAAATGGGTTCTTCCTGCTTTGTCTCTTCCAAATCCAGCTGGGGAGCAGGAGGTTTGAAGGGTAGGCATTATAGATGGGGACTCTGGGCTAGGAATCCCAGCCAGGGAGTCAGGCCAGGATGCTTGTGAAATAGGAACATTTTCAAGGGAAGTGACCCTCTGCTGGAACTCCTGAGTTCCAAGGTGGCCATTAACTTTAAATTGTTATACAGTGTGAATAATTTGCCTGTGGAAAAAATTTCGCACCGCTTGTGCTACTTTTGCCATTAAATTTCAACTGAAATTGGGACTAATCTCAGCTGGGCCCAGTCCAGACTGCACCATTTCTGCAACATTACAATATAACCTTCCCAGAGATCACATTACAGCCACACAATAAATAGACAAGCCTATAAAATGGACAATAACACCAGTGACGAGTGCACACCTCAGAACAATCAACTATATGATACCTAAAAAGCAGCATTTGCCCAAAAGCAAAGTTCAGAAGGATGGTAGGGGCAGCAAAGCTGGGTGAATGGACATGGAGAACCCAGGGCGAAAGGGGGAGAGTGCTGACACATTCAGGGATTTGCAACTAATGTCACGAAATAAACTGGTATAAACTTGAAATGGAAACTAATTTGTTCTCTAAACTTTCACCTCAACAACAATAAAATGTTCAAAAAAAGAAACAAAACAAAGCAGTAGTTAACAAATCTTACTGCATATTAGTATATATAGGGATCTGTCATAATACATTTTAAGTCAATATGCCAGAGATGGGGCATATAAGTATTTTTTAAAAATACTTCAGGTGATTTTTTTTAGAGCATTTCTTGACCAGAATTAGAGATTCCCCCCACACACTGAAGAGCATTCATGAGCAGAGACCCTAACATGCCCATACATAAAGCCATAAACCCACTGCCACTGAGTCAAATTCCAACTCATAGAGACCCTATAGGACAGAGCAGAACTTCACCATAGGGTTTCCAAGGAGTGGCTGGGAGATTCGAATTGCCGACCTTTTGGTTAGCAGCCGTAGCTCTTAACCACTGCTCCACCAGGGCTCCATATACACACATATATATACATATATGTATATATATATGCATACATGTGAAAACTGGGCAATGAATAAGGAAGACTGAAGAAGAATTGACGCCTTTGAACTATGGTTTTGGTGAAGAATATTGAATATACCATGGACTGCCAAAAGAATGAACAAATGTGTCTTGGAAGAAGTATAGCCAGAACGCTCCTGAGAAGCAAGGATGACAAGACTTCATCTCACATACTTTGGACATGTTATCAAGAGGGACCAGTCCCTAGAGAAGGACATCATGCTTGGTAAAGTGGCGGTGAGAGAAAAAGAGGAAGACCCTCAACGAGATGGACTGACACACTGGCCGCAACAATGAGCTCAAGCACAGCAACGATTGTGAGGATGACACAGAGCCGGGGAGTGTTTCGTTCTATTGTACGTAGGGTTGCTATGAGTTGGAACCAATTTGACAGCACCTAACAACAACAACAACGTGCAAAGTCCCCAGGTGAAAAAAAATGCTTAGTGTGTGCTGTGTCCACCAATTTTGTAGTAGAGAAATGGAAACTACTTTGTTGTTGCTGCAGTTAAGAAAAGGTGGATCTCAAAACTGGACAAGAGTGTGACAGATGGAGCAGCCACACCGGCATAACTACCCCTTTACAAAGAGAAGAGCCTAGTACTTTGAGGGAAGGGCCAATGGGAACCCCCAAAACATGACTTGAGTGGAATAATCTGACTTGAATTGTTGGGGAATGAGTCTCCACATTTGGAACGGTTTAGTCTTCTAGGTTAGTGTCATTTGGTCCATCTTCTCTGAATCATTTACTCACTCCTTTAGCTAACACTCGAGTGCCTACTACATATTACCCTGGTTGTTGTTAGTTGCTGTTGAGTTGATTCTGACTCATGGTGGCCCCATGTGTGCAGAGTAGAACTGCCCCGTAGGGTTTCCAAGGCTGTGATTTTTATGGAAGCAGACTGCCAAATCTTTGTCATGAGAAGCAGCTGGTGGGTCTGAACCGCCAACCTTTTGGTTAGGAGCCAAATGCTTAACCACTGTACCACCAGGGCTCCTTTGAGAGAGACAGGCATGGAAAAAATAAGTAAAGCAAAATGTTAGAGGTATGACAATACATTTACTTTCAAATTCCAAAGAATACATCGAGCCCTGCAGAAAGACAAACCCTGAAGAATCGGGTGCAACCCCTGAAGTACCAGTTCTACAGTTTTTGTACCTCTGGCATCTACTACTGGCTCAGGGAGGGGTTCAGTTTCCCACCTGACCTTACACCACAATGCTATTAGAGAACAGTCATCTACTCCAAATTAGCAAGCATAAATGCCAAAAAGTCACAACTCTACTAAATATAACAAACTTTATGATCTTTTTTTCCTAGATGCCATACCTAGAAATGCAGTCTTCTTAGGAGCCCTGGGGTTCTTAGCAAATTATTGAATCTTGTTTAAAGATATGGTTTGCATGACACCATTTTGTGTAGATTCTTGGTTCAAAGAGTATAACCTCTTTCAGTGCTTGTGTTCCAAAAAAGTGAGTCTACACATGAAATTTCAGTTTAACCATCACACGAGGCATTTAGATTTAATCTAAAATTAAATACCAGCTACTTCACAGATAATAATATTTTAAGGATAAATTGATGAGGTATTTACTTATTTGCATAATTCTATCCATAATGACTGCAATGACTGGGGCAGGGATAGACAGACGGTTTAAAGAAAATCATAGGATGATGCAGAACCTACCAGAAAAAAAAAAAAAAACTATCTTTTTTTGCTTGGCACGAATCTGGGAAGATGCAGGCTGACCTACTGCCATCAAATGCAGATCAAGATCAAAGATAACTTGAGGAAGAACAGAGTTGAATCCAAAATCATTGTTTGAGCACCTGTATCAATCCCTACCTGAGGCAGTGCTAAACCTGGCCTTCCATGTATGTGAGCTCAAAAAAAATTAAGTCCGCTTGAGTTACGTTGGATATCACTTGCAATCAGAAGAGAACTAACTGATTCATTCTCACAAAAGGAACAAAGGTAAGTAAGTAGGAAGCTGTACACCCAGCAAGTATAAGTCGCTCTGTATTTATTCTGTATGGATTACCCTTTCCTTCCCAGAGAGAAAACATACAGTCTGAGATATCCCCGTATGATAAACTCCCTCCTTCTGGCTTTACAACTGGAGTTTCTATGCCCATTAATTGAGGTTTGGTAACTTCACACGCTGGTTAAAATTCTTCCCTGAGATCATCAAGGCTGTGCCTTTGGCCACAGAATACTTTTCCCTATCAAAATTCAGGAGAAAATATAGGAAACTGAAATTCCTTTTGGTGGCGTTTAAGAGACAGGCAACTTAGGCAGATTTCCTGAGAAAAAGGTGTGGAGTCAACCAAGCCACTCATTAAATTTTCCCTGGCTGTGAGCTATTATCCCTTCAACATGTCCAAATATTCCAGAAGGGAAATTCATCTTATTGCATATAAAGCCACTTTATCGTGATGCTATGCACAAAGCATCTTTCACTAGCTTTTGTGAGCTGCCAGAACCATCTTGATGTCTCCATTTCCAGTCAAGCGCAGAGCTAGAAACGTATGGGCAGCCTTTACCCAACGGCATACAAGAAAGAGAAAAACCTAGGCATGGATGATGAGGAAAAAATGGTTATCACACTATGTGCTCAGTCAGGCCTGCAATGTGTTTCAAAATGGTTTGATACCATAATAGGGACACGTAGGAAGAGGAGAGACTGACTGGATTATCACTTCACATCCCAACCTAATCAAGTCAACAAAGCCTAAGGCAAATAGACATCAGCAAGTGTCCTCACTGAAAGTCAGCTCTGGATGGAATGCAACTTCCAGCAGCCACTCCAGACTTGTAAGAAATCACATTCTGGGAAGGAACCAGCTTTCCAGGGAGCGGTCATTCTTGCTGTTTTGTTGTCTGTCCTCCACCCACCCATCCCCCAAAAATGGTACAATAGAATGATTGTGTTCCATATTGAGGACTTCCCTTTTTAAAAATAAACAAGCAAAGGTTTCCCTAATCCTACCCATAGTCAGTAGCAGTCCTGGGGTGGGGAGAGTGGGAAAGGAAGCTGGCAGGAGCGAGGCTCCCACCCTTAGGCAAACAAGTTCAGGGATGACGTGCTGTAGAGTGTGCAGGCCTCTGAAGACAAACAGAAAGCTGAACATCGTGGGTCGTGGCACTTCCAGAGACATCCTTCCATGGACAGACACGTGATTCCCCATTCCTTTTCTTAGGTTTTCTTGAGGTATCTGTGACAGGCTTTCGCCATGTCCTTCAGGAAGTTAGGAACTCCATTCTGCAAAGGAAAAGAGACTCTGTCATTGGTGTCATAGCTGCTCACTCATGACACCTTTCGATGTAGCAAGAGGGAGACAAAGATGGCTTTGGGAAGAATAAAAGACAAGAAGACACTTGACTGTATTTCAACAGAATGTTGTCATGGATAAGAAATGACAAAAGGTAAGATGCAAGGCTTTAGGGGAAACTAGATAGCAGGGACCACTGTTTCAAGGCCCTGCCTTATACTTTGCATCTGCTAGTACAAAGCTAAGAAACTTCTGAGATGCCATGTCTTGAAAAGAAAAAGAAAACACAGGAAATGGGATTGAGCTGAGTTGTTGGATTCTCCTAAGGAAATAAGAGAAAAGCCTTGTTTCACCAATGGTAAGGATTTGGGAGGAGGGAGATAGGATATGTTATTACTTAGTTAGTGTTGGGTATCGTACAATACTTTTCCCAAGCACTGTCTGATATACTCCTATTCCATGCAGTAGGTAATATCCATCCCCGTTTTTAAGAAGGAAGAAATTGAATGGCTTCCCTAGATTACACAGACAGCTAGAAGCACAGCCAGGATTCAAAATCACATCTGTTGGACTCCAAAGCCCACATGCGTTTTTACTCTCCTAAGGAATCTGTTGCACCCTCCTGCCAGTAGGTAGGACATGTAGCAGTACCAGTTGCAGTGAAGTCAGTTCTGACTCATGGCAAACCCACGGAAGCCCCAGTGGCACAGTGGTTAAGAGCTCAGCTGCTAACCAAAAAGTCGACAGTTCGAATCCACCAGCTGCTTCCTGGAAACCCTGTGGGTGAGCTCTACCCTGTCCTAGAGGGTCGCTATGAGTCGGAATCGACTTGACGGCAATAGGTTGTTTTTTTAGGGGGTACAACCCCATGTGTGTCGGTAGAACTGTGCTCCATAGGGTTTTCAATCGCTGATTTTTTAGAAATAGATCCTTAGGCCCAGAGGCACCGCTGAGTGGACTCAAACCTCCAATCTCTCAGTTAGCTCAGCCTCCAATCTCTCAGTCGGAAGCCGAGTGTGTTAACTGTTTGCACCATGCAGGCACTTGTACAAAAACAAAACCAAACCCAAGCCTGCTGACGTTGAGGTGATTCTGACTCACGGTGACCCCATGTGTTATCGAGCAGAACTGCTCCATAGGGTTTTTTTGGGCTGCAGTCTTTATGGGAGCAGATCACTAGGCCTTTCTTCTGGGGTGCCGCTGGGTGGGTTTGAACCACCACCAACCTTTAGGTTAGTAGATAACAAAAACTGTTCATAGCAGCCAGGAACCTAAATGAGCCCATGATGTCAAGTTGCTAGGCAGTCTCTAGTGATTCAGGTTACCATGCCAGTTCCCTTCCCTGACTGGAAGAAAAAAAAAAAAGCACCTGGAGGCCTCCCCCAGGCTTGGACACATGTCTGGCTGTCTCCCAAGCAAGGTCAGTCTGTCTATCTCCTCCATAAGCAGGCACAAGGTTCAAAGGTAACTATTGTCCTACGACGAGCTGACATATTGTCCAGAGGATCCAAAGAGTGATCCTAGGGGAGGTCTCTGGGCACTAGCAGGGAGGGGCTGGCACTCCAAGCTAAGGACTCTTTGTCTCCTGTCCCAGCCTCCATCCTGTTGGCAGCCCCAGCTCCAGCCATAGTCACTCAACCAAGCTGCTTCATAAAAAGAGCCTCATTCCGCCTGAGACAAAGTGTCTCTTCAGCCTGACAGCTACATGGGCTAAGTCAACATTTGTCAAACCCACTCCTCCCCCTCCTGTCTCTTGGGATCTTACCTTGGCAGCCCAGTTAATGAGCCAGGACGGAATCTGGCCACCTGGGTTATCAAAGTAATACATGAAAACTAGAGGGGGAAAGAAAGGACAATTCAGAAGGAGGGGGAAAAGAAAAAATGTTTGAAAACTATAGCAACAAAACATTGCAAACTTCATATCTTCATATGCAAGCCCAGAAAGTATGAAGGGAACCAATAAAAAACCAAACTTGTTCCCGTCGAGTCAATTCCAACTCATAGCGACACTATAGGACAGAATGAAACTGCCCCATAGTCTCCAAGGAGCGCCTGGTGAATTTGAACTGCCAGTCTTTTGGTTAGCAGCTGAGCTCTTAACCACTACGCCACCAGGGTTTCCAGTATGGAGGGAGGTAGGACACAATTCAGGTGGACTTTCCTCCTCCAACTCATAGGGTATTTATAGGTAAATATTTTTGAATACATAGCCACATTATGCTACAATTTATAAAACACCTGGCACTAGACACTTTGGTAATGGGCTCATTTATACTTTTCATAACAACCATAAGGAGTTGGTAAAATTAACCCCATTTTATAAATGACAAAACTGAGACTCAGAAAAGGTAGGTGGCTGGAGAAACCCTGAGAGTATGGCCCCTGGACACCCTTTTAGCTCAGTAATGAAGTCACTCACGAGCTTCACCCTTCAGCCAAAGATTAGACAGGTTCATAAAAAAAAACAAGGCTAAAGAGGCACACCAGCCCAGGGGCAAGGACGAGAAGGCAGGAAGGGACAGGAAAGCTGGTAATAGGGAACCCAAGGTTGAGAAGAGGAGAGCGTTGACATGTCATGGGGTTGGCAACCAGTGTCAGAAAACAATATGTGTACTAATTGTTTAATGAGAAGCTAGTTCATTCTGTAAACTTTCATCTAAAGTACAATAATATAAAGAAAGAAAAAAAGAAAAAAGAAAAGTTAGGTGGTAGGGCCAAGGTGACAGATCTAAGAAGCATCGGAACTAGGTTTGGATTTTACCTGAGACCCAAGGCCATGCGCCTGCCAGTGTAGCAGGTGGCCTCATGCCCCACGCCTGCCCATGGCCCTTGGAGGCTGGAATTCAAGGTAGGCAGGTGCTGAGTCTGTCAGACGTGCTAAATGGGAGCTGCTTTCCTTGAGACAGAACTGTCAGCCCAGCCTATCCCCAAGATTAGCCTACAGTGAATTTCTAAACCCTCTGGTTTGCTTACGAAATTCTGATTTCACCTGTGCAATGCAAGCGTGAGTAAAGAATTGACTGAGCCAGATTTAAACACCCACCTCGCACACTGGCCAAGTTCCTGGGAGGGAAACGAGTCCCTCCCCAGGTGTTGATTCCTTGTCTGATTTGCACCCGTGCCATTCTCTGACTTCCCGGGGCCTCCCATAAGCACTGGTGCATTTTATACCGTCCCAATCAGCCTTCATCTGGGTGGCCCTGGCTGAGTGCACCAAGATGCACCCTGATCTTTACCTTTGCTCCCCTTCTTGCCATCGCTCTCAATCGCCAGGCTCTGCTTGTACTGCTTCACCCGGATCACACCCGGTTTCTCGGCAAACTGAGGCATGGAAGTGCTCTGGGCCAGGATCACATAGATCTTCTGCCCTTCCATCTCCAGCTCTTGCCGCTGCCGGAGGTAGACATACTGCACCGCCAGTCAAGGCACGACATTTCAGACATGCAAAGAAAGCCTTACAGACCGGAAGCAAAGGGAGGAGATTCTGTACCTCCCACCTGGCAGCTGCTCCCTGGTACTGCTACTTCCCTCACCTGCCCTGTCTCCCTACTTGCACTGCACCTAGAATTCTCATTTGAGGATATGGTTACCTACCTGTGAATGGTTCCTTGGAGCTTTTAATTATGCAGGGAAACCAGTCCTTTTTTCTCCAAGGAGACGCTCTGAGAGGGCAGAGGATTGGTCACTCATCAGCTGTGTGATCCTGGGTAACTTACTCAACCTTTGTGAGGCGTGGTTTCCCTCTCTAGGAAAAGGGAGTAACATTACCCACCATGCAGGCTTGTTGGGGGCATTGGACACAATGACTGGAGCAGAATAAGCACTCGATAAATGGTGGAGCCATTCCTCTTGGTCCTGCCCTCATCCCAAAGCCCTAATCACTCACCTCTATGTATAAAAGATGGTCAATCAATGTCACAACTCGTGATCAAAGGAGGACACATAAACATTTGTATATGTAGCAGGCAGATGTCCTCTCTGGGTTAACACTGGTTCACCAAGAATAAGAAAGACATTTCATCTTGATAAACATTCAAAGAACAACATGTCTAGGGAAGATATATTAAATCCTAAAAACACAGTAAGAATCATTACTTATTCAGCCCTGACTACAATAAACATGATGGGCTCTACATATAGCATCAGTTTTGATCCCTACAAACAGCCTGTCAGGTCAGTATAAGTATCCCCATCTTACAGATGACAAAATTGAGGCTCAGAAAGGTTTTAAAAACCTGCCCAAGTTCCCACAGTCCAATTCTAGCAATGGAGCCTAAATTTGAAGCCAGATCTGGTTCTAAAGCGTAGCTAGAATGTCATAGTCGGACAAGGCTCAACTCTTTGATGTGTTCACCAAGTTGGGTGCTGCCAAGTCAATTCCGACTCATGGTGACCCTGTGTAACAGAGTACAACTGCCCCATCGGGTCTTCTAGGCTTTATTCTTTACGGGAGCAGATCGCCAGGTCTTTCTCCATGGCATCTACCCCTAGGTAGGTTTGAACAGCCAAGCTTTTGGTTAGCCACCGAACATTTACCTGTTGTGCCATCAGGGGTCCTTAATGTGTTCGTTACACTTTCAAATAATAGCATTTTGGGTGGCACACTAGAAGGAATTAAAAGCCTAAAACAATCAAAAAGTCACTCTAAGTATGACACAGACTTACTATAACACAGTTACAATCACAGCCCCATGCCACCTCAGTGTACCTAAAACACCCAGTTGGCCCATCCCTCACTCAAGCACCTGCAGGGCTGCATGGACATTGGACTGCCTATTGTCCCTGCTCTCCTGCATACTCAGGGCCAAAATCTTAAATGAGTCGGGAAGACGTGCTGCTGCGGTGGCTCTGGCTTGCCTCTCTTTCAAACCTCCCACATCTTCTTTGCAGCAAATTCTGACCCACTCTATCCCACAATTTGCTCAGCTCAACTGACAGACATCACCTAACACTCCAGTGTCCACAGGCAACAGTCAACGGGGGATCACTGTGGGGTCGGTTGAGATGGGATGGCATGGGGGATGGAGAGAGCTGGCTGTGCAGGGGCCTGAGTTCTGGTCCCTGCTCTGCCACTAACCACTTATATACCTCTGTTATTTCACCTCTCTGGGTTCCCACTTCCTCCTCTGTAGACTGAGGGAGCTGTACTAAGCACTCTTTAAAGCTTCTTCCAAGTCCCAAAGTCTGTGGCTCAGCAATGTCAAGCCCCGTGACCACAATCACAGATGCTCCATGTGATCAGGCCCAGGAATCATACTCCGACGTCTCCAAAAGCCACAATAAGAAGCAAGGACTTTAGCAGATGCTTCTGCAGGGATGGATCAAAGACAATGCCGTCTGTGCCTTCTAGAAAATTAGCTCTATCACCCTGCATCCAGTGATGGCTGAGGTGCACAGAAACTCTTAAGACATCAAGGAATGGTGTGCTTGTTGAAAGGATACATCTCTGTTGGACATGGGAAAAGGGTACTTCACTTCCCAGTAGACCACAGTCTCTCCATTGCATTCTTTTTCATAGACTTCTAAAGGAGAACAAAAGAAGTTAATGCACCTGGAAACCTCTTTGGTTTCAATTAACAACCAGCTTAGGTATGATAAACTCGTATGGTATTTTAAACCACTAGCTCGTAGGCATAAACTTCTAGAAAAAGTCGGGCCAATTCATTACCTTCTCGAAAGCTTGTTACCCAGGGACAGAGTCAAGTGGATAGAAAAACACAGGGAAAAAAACAAAAAACAAAAAACCAGACTAACAACACTTGCCATCTTATATCACAAACAAGATTCTCAGATAGAATGCAAAGAAAGAAAATCAGACATCAAAACATAAACCTTCAGAAGTTTTAAAATCAAGGTTACCACCAGATGTCACTAGAGTATCAACAGTTTTGCTTTCAAGGCTTTTCTTCCCCCTTTAGATTTCTTGACACATTACAGCTAGCCTGGGGTCTTAGTGGGTCACCCCACCCAGCACCTTTAGGTGTGAGATGCAGGTTCCTCAGAGGGCGGTGTCCTTCCTAAACTGCCTGTGGCTATGCCCAAGTTTCTTGCTTCTCTCCTATTTCTTTACATTATTCCACGGCTATCAGCTGCTTTTGAGTAGACTCCAACACGTGGCAACCTCATGTGCTTCAGAGTAGAGCTGTGCTCCATCAGGTTTTCATGGCTCTGACCTTTTGGAAGTAGATTGCCAGGCCTTCCTTCTGAGGTGGCTCTGGGTAGATTCGAACCGCCAACCTTTCCTTAGTAGCTGAGTGTTTGCATCACCCAGGGACTCCCGTTCCTCGGCCAGGGTCCAAATTTCCTTAATACTCCATGCTGCTCTTGTGTACAAAGAGCAGCAGACTCTTAGGGAGAGATCAAAACACCAAACCCACTGCTGTCGAGTGGATTCTAACTCACAGTGACCCTATGGGACAGAGTAGAACTGCCCCATAGGGTTCCCAAGGCTGTAACTGTTAGGGAAGCAGACTGTCACATCTTTCTCCCAAGGAGCGGCTGGTGGTTCAAACAGCTGACCTTTCTGTTAGCAGCAGAGAGCTTCAGCGCTGCGTCACCAGGGAGCGATAGCAAAGGAATTTAATGATGGGCACACCCTGTACCCCTAGGCTGTGCCTCAAGCAGACAGTAAGCTTCTATCTAACCATTTAGAGAAGGGGTCAAGCCTGGGATGCTGAAGTAACCAAGGGAGCCCCTTGAGGAGATACTGAGGGGGGAAATAATAATAAATGGTTTAATTTAGCATTTGAAAGAAAATCTATTAGAAGCAGACAGTGGATTAAAGAGTCTGCCAGCCTATTAGTGCTCTAGGAGGCTGAAGAAAGAAAGCCCTTGAAAGGAAGGGAAGGAGCGGATATCTGTAGCTTATGCCTGCTCAGCACGGATCCCCTCTTCTAGGGCCAGCATCTTAAGTTCCTTCAGTCAATCACCCTTCCCTACTTCTTGACTATATGGTTCAAGCCGACTGACTCTGCCCTGATTTCAGGGCTGGGAAAGTGAGCAAGGCAGCCATGCGATGGTGCATCTAGGCAAGGGCTCAGCTTGTCACTCTAGCCAAGTTTATACTGAAAAGCGATGTGGTAAAGGCTCTCTGGGAGCTCACAGAATACCCAGGAGGGCCAGAGAGACTCTGGTTTGATTCCCTGCCACTGCACCTCATGTGCAGCCACCACTCGTCTGTCAGTGGAGGCTTACACGTTGTTATGATGCTCAACAAGTTTCAGCGGAGCTTCCAGACTAATACAGACTAGGAAGAAAGGCCTAGCAATCTACTTCCGAAAATCGGCCAATGAAAATCCTATGGGTCACAAAGGTCTGATTCACAACCAACATGGGGATGGGACAGGATGGGGCAGCATTTAGTTCCATTGTCCATGGGGTTGCCATAAGTCAGGGGCTGACTCAACAGCAGCTAACAACATAGCAACAGCAAATAAAAAAAATCCATGACGAATGTCCATTAGAAATAAGCATATGATCCAAACTGAGCCAACGAGAGCCAAGCCGGGACTGGGGCTGCACCCCCTGGGAAAGTAGAATTCTCGCTCCCCTGCGGTTATTTAAACAGTAGACTGTAAGTTTGGATCTTCTGGTGCCATCTTTGCTGTGGCATAAGGATCTGCCGGGGAATTAAGTCAGCGCAGAAAACAGAATCTAGAGTAGAAAAAGGAGGATTCCTGATGAAATTTTTTAAGTTCCAGATGCAGCTGTCCAGGAAGCCAGAAACTCATGGACTTTTCAATACTGGGAACCAATAAACTCCTTTTTATTTTCTTAAGCTGGCATTAATTAGCTTTTTGTTACTTACAACAAAGAGTCTTGATTAAAGCAAGGACCTTTCAGAAGCTATGTGCCCCTTTGCTAGCTCTATCGTTCTATCCCACCAAGACTGAAATGGCAGAGACCACTCTCAGCTCTCAGCTGCAGGAGGGTCCCCTATTTAATGCCTTCATAACTCCCCATCTCTTACAGGGTAAAATCTAGAACCTATCGTCTGGTGGCCATGCCAGACCCTTGGGATCTGGCCCCTCCCCTTGCCCTCCCTCTAGATTCTGCTACCCTAATGAACCAAGCAACACCAAACCATCGCTCACAGTTTTTGAATATATCAGGCTGTTTCATTGTTTTCTGACTTACTAACGCCGTTCCCTTGACCCGCAATGCCCTTTAACCACTCACCCCCGCACCCTCTCACAACCTCACGTAGATGCATTCTTGTCTGCTAAGAAAACTTTGGCTCAGCTTTCAAAACAAAGCTTAGACACTACCTCCTCCAAGAAGCCTTCCATGTCCACCTAGATATATGGGATGATAACACAACTTAACAGTGAGAGCAAAGTCTCCATCAGAGCAAACTAGACAGCAGATCGGAAAATATGCAAGGAGCAAGTCCTAGGAATGGCAAAGGTACATTTCAGCTTAGCATTTAAGACTTTGGGACATGAATTAAAAATTAAACAAATATAATAGATATTAAACCCACTCTTTCGCATTGGCTAGAATAAACAAGAAATGATTCTACTTTCAATTGATTAAAAAAAAAAAAAAAAGGATAGGTATCACTTACCTTTAAGGAGTCCTCCTGGTGGCACAATGGTTAAGTGCTTGCCTGCTAACCAAAAGTCGTCGGTTTAAACCCACTAGTGACGCCGTGGGGGAAAAGACCTGTTGATCTGCTCGTATGAAGATTATAGCCTAGGAAACCCTATGGGGCATTTCTACTCTGTCATAAAGTGTCACTATGAGTTGGAATCGACTCAACAGCACACAACAACAACAATCACTTACCTTTAACATACTGGTCCCACTGTTTTCTGTAGTCTAAGTCCAGGTAGACATCTGCAAGCAGAGCTGGTGGACAATCCTCCAGGATACCGAAGACTTTATACTCATAAAGCCCAGTCTGCTGGAGAAACAGAACGAGTAGAAACGATCAGTTCCCAAGTTGAGAGAAAGCTGGATTCTATAAGCATATGGAAAACAGCTGAGGATGGGGTTCACACAACACCAAACATTTAATGAGCACCCTATTCTGGGGTGCTAGTGACACTAATGGTGAAGAAGTAGATAAGGCCCCTCCTCTCATGGATCCTATATTCAGCGGCAGGGATAGACTGTTGGGATTGGCCTTAGTGATGGTTTAAATAGAATATGACAAGGGTTATGTGATAAAAGGTGTTGCAGGGGGTGTCCATATAATCAGATGGTCAGGAGAGACCTCTATGAGGTTAACATTTATCAGAACATCCTGTCTGAAATTTAAGAAGGAGTCAGCCATGAGAATGAGGAGAACCCACTCCTGGTGGGGGAAAAGTCCTCAGGTTGATGGGTTGGCATACTCAAAGAAGAGAAAGTCAGGGGGTGTGGAGTACTACAGTGGGGGAGAAAATGGTAGGAACTGACATCAGAGAGGTAGCTAGGGCCAGATCCCAAAGGAATTTGTAAACCAAGGTAAGGGGTAGGGATAATATTATCATGGCTATGGAAAATCAAGGGATGACTTTAAACAGGTAATGACCAAATTCGATTAACATTTTAAAACAATCATTATTGTTTCTTGGTAGAAAATAGATCATAAGGGAACAAGAAGATCAATTAGAGGACCATTGCAATAGTCCAGGTAAAAGATGATAGTGATTTCAACAGGGGAATAACAACAGTGATGGAGAGAAGTCAATGGTTTGAGGATTTATTTTGGAGGTAAAGTCAACAGGAATTGCTGACAGATTGGCTGTGGGGTAAGGGAAAGCAAAAACTCAGGGTCTGGTGAGAGACTCCTAGAACCTTTGCTTGAACAACTGAGTAGATGGGAGCTCCATTTTCTAAGATGGAGAAGACCTGGGGAGGAGATGACTTACATGGACTAAGGGAATAATCAAGAGTTTTATTTCGGACAAGTTGAGTTAGAGATGCTTATTAGACAGCTAAGTGGGGATGTCATGTAGGCAGCTGGAGTTCTGAGGAGACGCTATCATTTTAGGTATTCACGGAGCATAATGAAATCCAACCCATTATAATATCGAAACAGACAATTTTCCAACTGCTACTTTTTGATTACATATAAAGGACTGAAAAGGAAAAGAAACACCTGCTTCAAATCACATTTCTTGATTCCAAGGTATAACAAGAGGGTTCCCTTGTTTTCATGTTAAGTCATATTCTTTTCTGCAAGAGGTCTGGGCTGCAGTTGGCCCCACTACACATTTCACTTTCTATACAATGACAACTTACACTTCCTGACCCTTGCCCTAACACATGCTACCCATGCATCCACACACGCACGTACATAAAGATTAATCAACAGGCTTTGGAAGAGAGATAATTAACTCCTTGCTCAGGAATATTGGGGTCCCATTTTCAATATGCAATGAGTGAAAAGGATAAGATAATTATCTCCCCAATGTTACATGATTTAGCTTTGGTTATCTGGATAAATTAAGACAAAACTGTTTCCCTAAACGGGTTCCCTTCCCCTCCTGAGTGAGGTTACACCCCTAGTGACCTCAGTCACCCACGTATCACAGAAAAGAAAAACAGAAACTTTTTAGGAAGAGAAAAATAGAACAACCATGATTTGCGTGGATACAGAAGAATGAACTATTGTGACAACTTCCTTTAAACACTCACTGAGAAATACCAGAACTCCACAAGAACAAAATGCATGGTAACACCTTTCCTAGTCTATCAATAAAATGTCCTTTTAAAGTACTAAACAGTCCCAGCCCAAATTTCTGGAACAAAGCATTTTCTTACCCATTATTTCTTTTAAAAAAATCATCTCAGCAAACATACTCATTTTTTTAAACATTGTTTTTTTATAATTATAAACGTAATCCATATTCATTATAGGAAAATGCCAAAAAGAATAAAGAAAATAAAACAGTATGTTTAACCCCATAACCCACAAATAACTGCTGATAATATTTGACATATTTCCTATAAATACATAAAACCTCTGCATTACAAAATGGGTATAATATGGTATAACCAAAGCCAAATAAAACCTGTTGTCGTCAAATTGATTCCAACTCCTGACGATCCCATGTGTAAAACTGCACTCTATAGGGTTTTCAATGGCTGTAATCTGATGGAAGTAGATTGTCAGGCCTTTCTTGGTGGATTCGAACAGCCAGCCTTTCATTTAGTAGACAAGCGCAAACCATTTGTGGCACCCAAGGACCTCATTAACCAAAAAACCAAGTCAATTCCGACTCATAGCGACCCTATAGGACAGAGTAGAACTGCCCCATAGGGTTTCCAGGGAGCAGCTGGTGGATCTGAACTTCCAACCTTTTGCTTAGCAGCTGAACGTTTAACCACTGCAGGTATAAACTGCTTTATATTCTTATTTTTTTAACTTGATATTATACTGAGGGTATGGAGCGATCACACTGAATTTAATCGTTCTCCAAAGATATTTTTATTTCCAAATGTTTTTACAAATATAAATATTGCTGGAGCAATCATCCTTGTAGAGAACACTTGGCCCATACTTCTAATCTTTTTCATTAGGAAAGCTTGCTTAAAAATGAATTTTAAGGTAAACGCATTAACATTTTAAGGGTCTGCATACCCTTTATTGGAGCCTTGGTGGCGCAGTGGTTAAGAGTTCAGCAGCTAACCAAAGAGGTCGGCGGTTCAAATCCACCAGCCACTCCTTAGAAACCTTATGGGGCAGTTCTACTCTGTCCTCTAGGGTTGCTATGAGTCAGAATCGACTCGACGGCAACAGGTATACCCTTTGTTTAAGAAAGTTTGTCCCAATGCCATACTCTTATCAGTTAGCATTACACCCATTTTTATATGAGACTAAAGCTGAGAGAGGCTAAATTACTCACTTAAGTCCTACAGCTAGAACATGAGACAGCCAGGAAGAGAAGGCCTATCTCCTCTGCTCCCCACAATGTCTCCTTATTTAGCTCTATTCTCTGCACTTTTTCTCCGTTGTTTTCAAACCATAAGCTAATGATAAAGAGGACTCATCACATAGCCTCTAGTCTAAAAGAGGTCATGACTTGCCAAGAGTGAGCTGATGATGCTGTTGGTGGTACAGCCTGGATGGGAACCCGTGACTTTCGGTCCCCAAGCCAGTGCTCCTGCCCCAGACCACCCAAGATGGACCACCCACTGAGATTTTCCCGAGTCCCTAGGCCTAGTGTGTTTGCCCAGTGTGGCTTCTGGAGGGTTCAGACAGGACAAGGGGAAAGGCAGGGTTGGAGAATGGATAAACATTACCTCTTTCAATGGACTAGGCATTATGCTAAGTCTTCCTATATATTTCCCAAAGAGTCCACTCAAAAACCCTCTAGCCAGGCAATGTCATATGGTGGTTACAACAAGGGCTAGGAGTGACAGCCCGAGTAGTGTCTAGGCTCTCCCACCCACCAGCCTCAGTTTCCTCAGCCACAAAATGGGTCCAGTAAGAGTTTCTATGCAATGGACTTACTATGAGGATTAAATTAGATAATCCATCTAAAGACTTTATACCATGGTGTCTGGCACAGAACAAGTACTGAACATTAGATCTCATTTTTGTTAATAAGGTAGGTATGGTAATCTCCTTTTTATATATTTAAGAAACCAAGGCTCAGAGAGGCTCAGTAACTTACCCAGTGTCACAAAGTGAGTAAGCGGGAACATCTAGATTTGAATCTAGACCAACCTGGTTTCAAAAACTGTGTTCTTTTAACTTGTCTTGCTGGAAGGTAAGTTAAAAGATAAGACTCAGCAGTTTCATTCATTTAACTCTTTCTCTATTTTATAACAAGCAGGACTAAGGGCCACCCTTAATGAAGGTTAATTCAAGGAATTCAGAACGGTAACATAAGGCACATTTTTTTAGAAAAGTAACCTCTATGGGTAAGAAGCCCAGGTGGCACAATGGTTAAGCACTCGGCTGCTAACTGAAATGTCGGCAGTTCAAACCCAGTAGCCACTCCATGGAAGAAAAGGTCTGGTGATCTCCTCCAGTAAAGATACAGCCTAGCAAACCCTATGGGGTGGTTCTTCTCTGTCATATAGGGTCACTATGAGTTGGAGTCAACTCCACGGCACACAACAACAGCAGCCTCTATGGAGCACTGCTCTGAACTGGGCACTGTGCTCACAATAATCCTGTGAAGTAAGCATCATTAGCTCTACTTTTTAAAGGAAGAAATGAGGCTGGGGTTGCAACTTGCTACTGACATCACTACTTTTTGAGATGTCTGTTATTCTGGCTAATTTGTCTAAACATCAAGTTGCTATATTTCTTACCAACAGTGATTCAAATGCATGCAAAAGCAAACAACAAAAAAACCCTGCAATTTCTTTTCAATTGCCTTCATAAGGTTAAAGTGCTCTGAGAAAATTATTGCTGATAGTATAATGATTTGCTCTAAGCAGAATAAACGGAGAAAGAGCGAACATGTTTACAGCAGAGAAATGTCAAAATGTCATAATGTTTGCATTTGGCATTTGCAATTCCCACATAGGAGTAACTCCCTGTAGCCCCGCCTGACCTGGAGAAAAGCACCACTCCTTTCCTTCAATTTACGGTGTTTATCTGCGTTTATGTCACTAACTACAAGGCAGCCTTGATAAATCACAGTCTTTAATTCTGTGAATATACCCTTGAGCATGCATTGAATTCTCTTTGCCTTTCACAGAAGAGCTAATTTCCACTCCTCAGGAGGACAGGAAGGCTCCCTAGTCCTCATCAGTGGAAGCTGTCCAACGTGCCCCTCTGTGGCAAGTAAAAGACTCAGGCAGTAAGAAAAGCTAGCATTTTTCACCAAAGAGAATTAATCCTAATGGCAGAAGTCAAACCGGCAGCTGTCACTGGCAAGTGGATCCAAGATTGTACTGAAGAAAGACAGTTGATTAAATCTCTCTAAGAAAACATGGTAGTTTAATCCCTAAGGATTG